GAATTATCATAATACCACTTGTAAAATGCAGAAAGTACAATAAAAATAATAATAGTAATAATAATGCACATACAAAATAACCAATTTTTCTTAAATTTGTATTTAACTCCTCATGAGAACAGGAGCTGTTAAAAATGACCCAAGTCTCCAGCCCTGATCCTCCAGATCTATAACAATCCTTCAAACCTGAAGCCTGAAAAGGAATTATTTTGTAATTTAAATGAATATCTCATCATATTAGCTGCTTAACAAACACATGTGACCTGTAAATAATTCCTACTTTAATGCTTGAAAATTATTTCAGAGTTTAATCTGTTTGGTGAGTTTGGTTTTGAACGTGAAGCTGGTTATGTAATTAAGAAATGAATTGGGCTAAATAATAATCGTTTGGATTGTTTAAAACTGGAGTGGACTTTTACTTTCAATTCCCATTTTATTAAAACAATAAACTGAATCCAAGAACAACAAAATTCAGTAAATAAATTATTTGTGCTTCAAGTCCATCTCCTAGTCATTAGCTTAAACTGCATATAAGCACCAAAGCTTTAATTGTGAGAATATTTTCTAATGCAACAATGAAATAAACAGATTTACACCAACACAGTTGGTGTAACAATTTTTATAGTTTGTAATCAAATTATTTTTTAGTCATAAATTGATAATAAGTTGTGTAAGTTTAATGGGTAAGGTAATTTAAGAATAAAAGAATTTCATTACTATCAGATTTGAAAAAAAAAATATCTCAGCAACAGCAACAAGAACAAGAAAGACAACGGTAAATATTACACTCTAAACAAGCAGAGTTTGTTTTTGTTTTTTTAACTCTATTGTCAACAGCCTAAAAGCAGAGGCTGAATTTAAAACGTCTTCCTCTTGGATCATAGTTCTTGAGATTCATTAAAAACCTTCAACCTCTGATTAATTATACTCATAAACAATCAATCACAATTTCTTAGCTTTAGGTAATAATTTGCACCATTAATTGAGAGGGTCTTTAGCCTTACTCTGTAAAAGAGTCATAAGCAGTTTTATTTACATAAGATCAACTGGTTCCCATGTTAGAGAGTTCAAACAATAGAGAACTAATTTAGACACAAAAAGGACCTTGAATGGTGATAAAGTTTGGAAATCTGTTCCAATAAGGGTACATTTAACCTTTTCCTGCTGTTCAAAAGCTTCACCATCAGCACAGTTTGCTTAACTAGTTAAAGCAGAAAGTAAACTTTAATTATTGCTCAATTACAGATGCTTTCTCCAGTCTTATGACAGCTCAAATTTTTTCTCTTACTTTCCAAATAAAAATAATAATTAAAAGAAATGTATAATTTCACTAGCCTTGCAGCTTTGTCCCAGACCATACACATTTGGTGAAATGTTGCCAGGGCCAACAATTTAGGAATATGGAAGAAAAATATTTAGATTTGTTGCCGAAGTAAGAGCATCAATGTTTCCAGAATGAAACAATTATTAGAAACTATGCTTAAACTAATATTGTTGATTAAATTTGAAGACATTTTAATGGCAACTATCAACCTTTAAAAATATATTATCTTGTATAATTTAATATATAACTTTAATAGATTATTTATCTTTTCTGTTGTTTCCAATTATTAATAATTCCACAGTGAAAGAATAGTGTTTTATCTTTTTTTTTAAGTACTATAAAGCAAACCTAAGGACGGTTGTCTGTGCAGACAGTTGCAGCGTGACTCTGAGTGTAACATGCTGTTTTACAGCTGCGCAGCTGTTAAAACAGCTTTTTTTGAATTACAACACCTCCCCCTGCTGGCGAAAGCCTATATGTACAACTCACAGTGTTTAAAATGTTCGTCTCGTCTCTCCAAAGTGCGCCGTTTATTCAGTAACATGCTAATGAAATCATAATTTTGAAGACTTTATACTAAACCGAAAATACAGAGAAAACAAATGTGTTCTGTCAAAAAAAGAAAAGTTCACCAACAACACATGTTAATCTTTTATTAGATGTTGCAAATGTTTCCTTTTTTAAAATTTGATTATACCAGAATAACAAGCTATGTTGTTGATGATGGAATTTTTGGTATAAAAGCATTTAGCCTTGTTTGGATCAAATGTATTACACATCGGTTTTGGCAATTAGTAATTAAAATTACATTAAATACAGGTTATTTTTATTTGTAATGCTAAACAAATAGAGTATATGCCACTAAATACTTTTTTGTATGAAAAGCAATTTAGAATAACTCAGTTAATTAAACTAACTGACATAATATTCAGACTTACTCCAGATTAAAATATGTTCCATATTCCAAATATTATTAAAAAATCCAATTAACACCGTGGAATAAATTTTTTTGCAGGATTTTTGAATTTTCTCTTTATTTTTATTACTCTAAAAGAAAAAAACTAACATAAAACTAAAAACAATGGAAGGAAAACGACTTTAGTAAAAAATTCATTATGATAAATTTGTAATCTCAAAAAATAATTCAGAGCAAAATGAACAAAAATAAAAAAAACTTAAAATATCCTCATAAAATACAGTCAGTAGAAATATGTCATTCTTTAATTTTATGCAATATTTAGGTCATCAGTTTTACTGCAAAAATAAACTAGAAAGAAAGAAAAACTCAGCCTAATATTTTTAATTCTATTTCATATTTCTCCAACTAAAGAATAGACTAAGAAAACTAAGATATAAAGTTTATTTCATGCTAATTATGCAGGTTTATTCTACTTTTATTTTTATTTTCTTACAAAACTTATTGATTTTACCTTATTTTTAAAAATGTTTCTTAAAGAATTTTAAATGTAGATATCAATCCCTTTGAGCTCAGGGTGTGGATAAAAAATAATCTTTGCATGAGACTAAATTCAGAAGCTTAATAAATAACTCTTAAAGTTCAATTATTGGGGTGGAGTAGACGGTAAAGAAACGACGCCTCACGCTCTGAAAGGTCTTTAAGCTCTTTCACAAACTTTGTTAACCATCATCTTGGGGCAGAGTAAATGTCCTTTGTTGTTACAAGGCTAATGTTGTCATTAGCAAAAGTACCTCTGCTCAGGTATGATTTGCAGCTTCTTTCATCAAATGGTCATGTTTTTCAATGGATTTGTCCGGCAAAAATAGTGCCTCCTCCGAGGGAAAAAGTTCAAACTCCAGGATGCCGGAGAATTATTTTAGGATTTATGCCATTAGCAACAAGCTCGGGTCTTCATGTGGAGAGGAAAACCTCTCCGTCTACTGAAGAGTCTGCATGTGTTTGCACACTTTGTGGTTTTGGTAGAGACAGATATTCCCCAAAAAAATTTGGATGCAAACAACTAAATGTATCAGATTTTTCTGGAACAAAAATAATGATGAATCATGGTTTTAGAATGTAATGCAACAAAAAAAAATATTTTCTCAAATCCACAGAAAAAAAAGCATTAGATTATCCCCCTACTGAGGCCAGCAGGCTTTTAACTGATCACACATCTGTAAATATGCTTCTTTTTTTTTTCCTGTCTCAATTAAATACGGTGGATGTTTTTTTGTGAGCAAGCGTACATATATGATTGTAAGTGTGCCAATAACAGGCTGCACTTCAGAGAAAAGGTAGAAATCCACCAGATGTTTTGCAGCTGGGTGGATCTGATAGTGAAGATGGAGACAGCATCTGTCACAGGCGAGCATTTCTAATCTGTCCTGAACATTAGGCAGAGAGCACTAAAAAACCCATCACTCCAACATGTGCGCCGCACAATGTGCTCGCCGTGGCCTCTGCAGTTTGAGAGTTCACAGCTAAATGAGAACAAAAGGGATATTTATCAGGCTGAGCGGAGAAGAAGTTAGTTGAACAGGGACTAAAACAGGGACTAACATCAGTTATTATAGTTCAGAGTGCTGGAGGCTACAGACCAGGGCTTTAAGTTAGAGGTCCAGCAGGGCTTAGTGAGGTCAAGATCTATCAAACAGTGGGCAGAAATAGCTCTGCTCTATTCTAATTGGTCAGAATCTTTAAACATTTTACAAAGAAAATAGGAAAAAGTTTCTGCTAATTATATATTTTATCATAAGATGAACTATTCCTACCAAGAATTCATTCAAAGCATAAAGCTAAGTAGTTAGATGATGGAATTCCAAAATTAAACCGTATCCTCTTCAGAGCTAACACGAAAGCTTTCGGCTGATCTCTGTAGGCTTTGGAACTGTGGGAATCACAGCGGGCTGACCTTGATGCTATCTAGATGTTTGCCTTCCTGGGTTCATGTGCCTAGTTACCACTTGGTCAACCCTGCACCCCGTGAACTGACCCTGTCCTCCCTCCGAGGTCTGAAAGAAAAAGAAACCCAATCCTCCAGGGAGCACACTGTCTAACAAGAAAACTGCTGGCCCGAATCTCTCAGAAGTGCCTTGTTTTCCCACTGGACCACTTTCAGCTTAATAAACATCTTAACTAGCCAGAAGTCCCGTGGGAGCTGCTGGGAAATCCTCTGGGCAGCCAGAGCTCAGGAGCTGAACCTTTATTGCATCCAGGTGGCGGTTAAAAAATGCTGGCCGGCTATAAATGTCCAATAAAATACAAGTGGCACCTTGGAGGGTGGACAGGGTCAGTGCACCTGTCTGTGGACAGAAACTTTAGTCACTTCCCTCTTGTCCGACTGGTTTGATGTCACACTCTGTGGCACAGCAGTGCTGATGGAGAGATTAGTTAGGAGCTTTGGTATTTCTTCCCAGCACCAGGAGATGCAACATGCATTGCAAAAAATAAAAAAAGGAAAAATAAAAGTAAACATAACTGGATAAATACAACCAAAGATGCCATAAACACAAAAAACAAAACAGAACTTAAAGAAAGAAAAAAATTACTTTTTTAATTTGACTAAATGTGTTTAGCAAGGAATGTTTTACTTTTACAAAAAAGCATTTTCTAAAACAATTTGTGATGCTAAACATTCAAATACAATCCAACTAAATCCTATTTTTTACTTATTTTTGTAGATTAAATAAAAGCTTTAATTGCCTGATATAGATTTGAGTTGATGAGCTGCATTTATTGATTGAATGGGACTCTGTGCATCCCACATTTTTGCGCATATAACCAACACTCAGAAACTCTGTCACAAACCTTCCAACGCTCATAGAAAAGAAAAATATTATTTATGTAACTTATCGGTTTCATTGGTTAACTAAAATTATAAAGATGTGAATAGATGAGTGGATTAATTGAGCAAAAATAATTATAAAAAAAAGCTACTCTCCCAGTTTTTTTTTTATGTAGATGTCTCACAAAAGCACAATCTCTGGGTTAGCATTAAATGTTACCATGGAAATATAGTTTTTCTAAAACTTTTTTTTAAAAGAGCAATAATTAATTCGAAAAAGGAATATTGATGTGAAGAATGAAAGGTATCTGTTTAGATGGCGTCACATGCCCTTTATCTGTGCTTTATTCCATTGTCTTGTTCAGAAGCTGAGCCTGCCGCTAGTTCATGTACTTCCATTTGAATAGCTCTCTCAGGGCGTAGCGCCTCCCTGTCCAAAAAAGGCCAGCAGCAGCGTAAAGCATCTGACCAACTGCTTTCGATTGCTTTTGCAGGAGAGCTACTCATACTGCCGTCATAGTGTAATTACTTTACTAACTTAACAGTCTACTAATGCCATTAGCCGCAAACATACAGTTTGATGCAAATAGTGAAACAGTTTTTCAATGGCACAATTACTCAGTTATTAACAAACAGTAGAACATTTGCCAAAAAAAAAAGTTCTAACTAACAGAATTATAGTTATGAGTATCCACTTAACATTTTCCTCCCAAAAGTGATGTTAGTTTACCGTGTATTTGACCTTTGCATAGATCACACGAGTTTGGAAGGGAGGGCGAGTCAGGATGGAGTTGCAGCTGGACTGGTGGTAGAGAGAGACATGGCTTTTCACACATCTTGTTTTGGTCTATAGACAGTGCTTAACGGTTTACCTTGTGTTAAACTTCCTTTATGCATCTGCATTCAGTGACGATTTATTCAGTTGAGGTTTAATACATTTCCTGGAAACAAATGAATCTCACCTCCAGGGTGTAGTTTTCATTTTGGCGTGGTTGTAGAGTCCCTACAAACCACGTCACTCTGGGTAGAAAGACTTTTTTCTTTATAAATAAAAAACAATCAACAAAGAAGCCAATTAGCCACTCAGAACAGGCATGAAAATAGAGTAAAATGATGTAATGTAATCTTCTAGTCCAGAGCTCACCTGATTTTTTCTATATCTGCAGTAAGGAACAGTGGAAAACACCTGGATTTGAGACAGACAAGTACCAGTTTATCTAACCCACTGTTAGAAAATTGAAGCAAAATGTGGCATCTTGGTGTCAACAAGCTTTTCTGAATATTTGCTTTAACTTCTCCAGATATCTTTATCATGTATAGATCGGTTGTTGCAACCTCACATAAGGAACAGTCAAAGTCAGGCCAGGGTCAAATGCAGTTACAGATTACTGTACATAAAAAAGGTCAAAATATTCCCTTTCATAATCATCCTCCTTGTTTGGTTGAACGTTTGTTTAAGGACTTCCCAGTGCTTTATGCATACTTCACACATTGGTGAACAGTGGCAGCAGCCTGCCTTCATTTGTCCAGGACCATCGCTATCCAGTGGGAGACTTAATTGCACCTGAAGTCTAAGTAAAGCCTGGTCGGCACAACGGGTCTTTGATCTGACTTGAAAGGAGTTAATTGATTTCTGTGTTGCAAGGAGTGTTCCAGGGGTGAGACCGAGAAAGGGAGAGAAAAGATGTTTGCTGGTCATTTCACAACATGTGGCGAATATCTGCAAGAGAAAGATTGGGGGGGGGGGATGGAGGGATGAAGAGAGAGATCACCTCACACCCGACTCCATCCCTGTACAATTACAGTAATGTGACTCACATGGGCCGACCGCCTTGGCAGAAAAAGGAAGAAAAAGGGGGAGGAAGAAAAGGGGTTCCCTGCTCTGGGACATCACTCATCTTACCTCCAGCTGAAGTATGGAAAGACGCGTATGATGAGCGGCTTCCTTCTAAGTGCAGCTCAGGGGCTTGTTAAGGCGGCGGTATGGTGAAGACCACACGTCCAACGTTTTGCTTCCAGACTCAGTCAGGGTTTCTAACACTTAATGACATCAACAGCCAACGAAAACCATCTGAGGTAAGTGGTCAAATTAAAGGTGGGTGTCATATTATAACCATTAACTTTGACTTTCTCAGTTTTGGCCTCTGTGAAATTTTTAAGCAATCTGACTAGACAAAACAATTAGTTTTCTATTTCTTTGTGACGAAGATGATGAATCTAGTGAACGGTGCATTCCTTGGCAGAGTGATTTGCTGCATCACCTGCCTGAGAGTCCTGTCTTAGACAGGCCCTCCTGCCTTTACTCTTTCACCTCACCCTGTCTCTGGTCACCTCAGCTCAGGGGGGGGGGAAACAGGCCTGTCAGAGGGAGAGTGGCAGGCTAAGCCTGTCTTAACACAGCAACTCAAACCACCTCATAAATACAGGCTTCCTTTTCCAATTTCCAAGTGGCCATCTACCTCTGTCTACATGCTTACACACAGCTACATGTCATGGGCCCAGGGTGTGAGTTTAAAAATGACCATGAGACATCTGGTGGACTCACAGAGGGGTGGGGCTTTGATGTGCTGCTCCATTTAGTTCAACATCACTTAAAGGCATAAACCTTTCTGTAGGCTGCAGAGACCAGGTAGATTCAAGTGGAGATGAAAAAGGAAGTGACATCATTTTGTTTGTTTTCTTTAAACTGAATCTCATAGTTAGCTCATTAGCAGGACTGTTTAGAGCTCGAATGAATGCTGAAGAGATAACTTACCCATTTGATTTCAGGTGTATTGTAGCAGGGCTGCGTGTAAAAAGATGTGTGACATTGATGTAAACATATATTTCAGTTCCTGATCTGAAGCTATTAATTTTTTTTTATTCCAAGCTCAGCCAGAATGGATGGAGACCCTCTAAAACAAATCAATGTTTAAGGGTTCACTGGAAAAACAATCTACAAATTAGTAAAAATAGCTTAAATGAATTGTATTTACCCTTGATTTGAGTAGGTAAATGAGGTAGTTTGCCAATGGAATGAGTATTTTTACTCTTTAAATAAGATGATTAGATAAAATGCACTTGAAATAAGACAATGCAATTGTGTTTTCTTATTTTTAAATGTAAATTATCCTGTTCCATTGGCAAAATGTGTCTTTTAACTCCTCAATCCAAGACAAATGCACTTATTTTAAGAAAAAAATTACTTATCTAGATTTCAGTTTTTTCCAGTGATTGCTTTAAATTCTCAATTGGATTTAGGTCTGAAACATTCATATGCTTTGATGTAACCAGTCCATTGTTGTTCTGCCTGTTTAGGGTCGTTGTGATGCTGGAAGGCCAACCTCCAGCACAGTTTAAGTCTTTTTTTTTTCTTAAACTGCTCCATATTTAGCTCCATCCACATTTCTGTCCTCGCTCAATAAAGGTATTTCAGTGCATCATACTGCCACTATTTTACTTTATAGCTGCTGATTGATTGCTGCTCATTTAAGATGGGTTTATGTGGAGGTTTAGAGGTAAAATAAGAACATGATAAAACATTTTATAATAAAAAACAAAAAGAAAACACAGGTTCTAAAAAGTTGCATGGTAGAGAATTTAACAGAAACCGAGAAACAATCAGAACCTAAGAGGTGCATCATAAATCTGTCAGCCAAATTACAAACTTTGTAAAAAATATTTTAGTTCCTATTTGTCAATTTTTTGTTATTTCTAAAGTCACTTAAACTAGCAGTTTCTAATCCATTTATCATCAACACAACACTGTTTTACCATAAAGAGTTTAGGAACGATATTATGCATTAAATACGAGAATATTCATCTGAAAATGATACTGGATTTGAAATATGTGAATGAGAAACAGAATAAGCAGGCGAACTGAAAATATTGCAGCAAATAAATGAATAAATAAGATTACAGTACATTTAAACATTAATTTTTTTTGCAAATTAAAATCTTTTTTTATATGCCTTAATTTTTCATTGTCAGACAGGATGATCCAGCTTTTTTCCTGTCTTAGAAGCAAACGTTTTATTACCTACATGCCAACATCGGACCTACAGAGTTATGAGCAGTTAAAGTTAGAAAGTTTAAATCCCAATAACATACATTGTTGCTCACACTGAGCACAGCACATGGATATTATGCATACTTTTAAAAAATAAGACATTATAAGAAATATGACTTGGATAAACTCATATTTATGTTATTGGTTTCCAAAACTATATAAATATTTCAAGGTATGGTTTCTTCTCTACTTTTGATATCTAATTAAAGTTTAGTTGTAGTTTTGGTCCTGTCAATTTCCTACAAAAACAAAATATCTATTTTTTATATTTATATACTGAAAAAAAGAAAGTTAAAGAACACTAACNAGTTAAAGAAGACTAACAACACATATCTAGATTAAAGGGTGTATAAAAAATGGAATAAGCATAAAAACTATCTAACATCTGAAATTCCCTGGCACATTAAACTACTTTTTTCTTGCAGGTTTTTTTCAGTTTGCATATGGCACACTGTATAGATGCACTCTATGAACCAGCAGGGAGCAAGGCTGATGAAGCCTGTCACGTTCTCAGGGGCTTCACTGACACGAGTGTCACCTTCGCGAAGGAGCGTGAAAGCTGCTCCCTCTGCAGAGAATTCCTCAGTCGCTCTGATTTTAGCAGCAGCAGAGCAACAAACCAAACAGTCAAGGAGGGCTGTCATCTGCTGCCTGCTTCATTAAACACCTGTGAAAATCAAAAGCCATTAGGAGTTTTGGCCCAACAACAAAAAAAAAAAAAAAAAGAAAGAAACAGTTGGCAAAATCTGTAAGTTCACCAAATTACAAGTCTAATAAACAGCAGGGATGTTTTTCAGTGAATAAATGTCTGATATTATTTACACTTGATAAATCTGAATTTTTCAAAAATGAGCAGTGATGAGGAAGTCATTCTTTGGTATTAAGGTTGTGTTCATAACTGGAGTGCATTTTGTTAATGTCAAAGACCCAAAACAAAATCATAGTGTGTTTTTAAAGGATGATTACCTCAATATTATTGTCTAGGAATAATTAAAGTCATTGTAATCCAAGTTTTCCAAATAGTTTATTTAACCACAGGTAAGCAGCATATGGGAAAAACATTCTCCATAGTGTATGGTCGTGCTTTTAAAGAGCTGATTTAGTTGAAGAGTAACTGTTAACGGGTGTGTGTGTGTGTGTGTGTGTGTGTGTGTGTGTGTGTGGGGTGGTGTCTGGGGTAAACTCTCCATGTCTCCAGGCTCTGCTCATTGTTGTTGCATGCTCCTCATGAAGCTTGACAGGAAGATGCTTCTTCTGGAAAATGAACATGAGATGGACCTGTTCGTTCCTGCGTTCTTCTTCGCCCTCCAAGGCATCATCAAAGATGTGCAACTCTGATGAGCAACAAGTGAGTCACAGCTTAACATGTTCACTCTGGAAATTGTTGTTTTATTTTGGGCCACACACCCTTTTAAATCTGATTCCAACTATCTGACAAATAAAGTAAAAAAGGAGGATAACTGTAGAAGTTTCACATTTTGAAGAGAAAACATTTATTTTTATTTCTAAATACATTTCAGAAATTACATAATTAAATAAAAAGAGGTAGGGAATAACATAATAAAATCTAGACTAGTACAAGAAATCAGAGTTTTTTATTATTTTTATTCCTTTCTTTTCTTTGTCCTTTCTGGTTACAGTGGCTTCTGTGGCTTGATTGGAAGTTAAGACACAATACTCCGCTCTGTGCCGAAATTGTAGTGAAACTGTGAGGAGAAAAAAAAGGTGGAATTGCTGTGAGAGAAAAGAAATACAGAGAAAAAAATAAACAAAGAATTATTTTAGCACCATTCGGACACAGTCTAAGATATTTATCTGATGTCACTTAACTATTAAATTAAAATAAGACTGAGTGAAGTTTATCCATCAGCAGGAAAAAGATGAGAGAATTATTCCAGGGAGGAGGTACAGTACCACTGCCCCCTTGTGGTAGAAGAACGACAAGACCCCTTTTTTTTTTTTTTTTTTTTTTTTTTTTTGGTATGTTGCTAAATTATGGATTTACAGACTGCTTTGAAGTTCAGATTTAATTGTAAGCCAGGAAGTAACTAAGTTGGGACAGTTTTTGGATTACCTAGAAAGAAACAATAGAAAGAAAACACATCAAAGTAAAATAAAATAGATATTATTTGAATACAGAAGAGAAGAAAATATATATAATTCATTATTTATATAGGTAGCTTTTTGTCTTTTCCTAACACTGGTGAGAAAACGTAACTTTGTAAAAGTAAATGTAATGTAAAAAGACCTTACAATTAAAATACATATACATAAATAAATAAGTAAATAAACAAATAAATAAAAATAAATAAATAGGCTTCAGTCTGCTTACATAATAAACACATTTTATCAATTGTTTTTCAAAGAAAACCAAAGTTAATTGAAGAAAAGAAGCAACAGCGCCTCCTACAGCAACTATATTCAAATAAATCACAGAATAACTGCCTTTGATGTGGTTACTTGGTTACTTCTGCCATCTCTTATTACTGATGTTTTCATTATATAAAAAAAGAAAAAAACAGAAATAAAACTGATTTTTTAAATACATTTGCGGGCATAGAAATGTATTTGTATTTCAGTTTGATAATTAATATATAAATTTTACATTATTTTCCATTTTTTCCACAATTCAACAATCAGCTGACTGTTTGTGAGCATGCAGACTGAGATCATCAGCGTTATTGTCGTAGCTGCCTTTTTTTTTCTCACATTAAATCATTAGTCAACAAAATGACCTGCCAAAGATGAAGTTACTTTTGTAATAGGTTCAAAAAGTCTACATTTTCCAATTGCTGTATTGCTCAAAGTTAATAAAAAAAAAAGAGAAAAAATGAGAGTAGAGCTTTCCAAAAATCCTACAAAAAAAAACAACAAACAATAACAAAAATATTTAGTTTTATGCACTGGAAAAAGTAAATTTGCACTAGATTATATTGGAGTATTTTCCAAACAGATCAAAGCGATTAACATTTTTTTAAATTGTGAGTTTAAAGACATAAGCAGAGCTCCTCACACTAAGTTCAACAGTTGTCTTACTGTAAGGGAGCACTAGGTGATGCTGTATGATCACCAGAAGAAGTTCACCACAGTCCAACTCAGAAGGCAGCAAGCTACAGAACAACACCTGAAATTTTAAAATTGTGTGCTCCCAATGAGGGGGAGTGCACTCCCACTCCCACTCCCACTCCCACCTTCATCTACTTGTGGCGAAGCAGCAAGTTACCCAAACCTGTCACATATCAGAAGCCTATTATTTGTGAAAGAATTCAGCTCTCTCCACTCACACAAAAATCAGTCTCAACATCTGGCACAGTAAATAAATATACAAGTGATTGTGTGTATGTGTGTGTGTGTGGGGGTGTGGATGATGGATGGGGGAATGGGGTGTTATCAGGGAGAGCATGTATCAATGTCTGCCAGTTTTACACACAGCCTGACAGGACAGTGACACACTCGAACATGGGCGGCAGTCACCCAGACGAGCCCAGCTTCATTTCCTGTCCCTGCTCCACTGCCAAAAATATGTGACATGTTGTCTTCATTAATTCCACCTCTATTTGGAGCTCTGCCTCTCACACACCACTGTACTCTACTGTCCTTCCATTCATTCACACCCAAACTCACAGAAAACTCCCTGAAACCGATCATACATAGGTGCTAATGAAAAGCCCGTCATGTGTGCACACACACTTTATCCCAGTCCGCTATACTCGCTCTAAAAATCATTAAGCAGCCGCCAACAACATTTTTCAGCAGAGCAAACTACATAAAGATGTCACTTTAATTCGCTTACTAATTAACACTTAAAAAGACACAAATTAGATATGCGTGGCTAAAAGCAATTATAATATCCTCAAGTTTTTTTGCGAGTCATTTGGGAAATGAAAAGAATGCCTAATTGCTGGAACCAACATCGTCTGAGACATGGCTTAAGTGATGCCTGTTAGGGGATGGTCTTATCTACAACTCTGGCTCTGATTACAACAGTTTACCTCAATTACATGCGCATATGGAGAATTCAGAAGGGCTACATCTCTTTCTGTGTTTATTTATTTATTTCTTGGCAATTTTGAGAAAAGAAGGCAATTGGAATCTGTAGTGAGGGTGTCTATAGTGAGAACAGGTGACAGTGACCTCTTCTGGACAGCAGAGGAAGAAGATGTTCTAAAAGAAAAGGGGAAAGAAGATGCTCCAATAAAAAGAAAAAAAAAATAACAATAATAAAAACATGTGTATAAAAAGTAAACCAAGAAGATTTGGAAAAGAAATAAAAGGAGAAGACTTTGTGCTGCTTTGCAGGTAAATTACTGACTCCATTTCCCTCTGCTTGTGCTCATCGGCTATAATAATAAGAGGAGAGAAGTAAAAATAACACAATGGTGAGGGATGTTTCCACTTGGAAACTAATTATCAAGCTAAGCTGTGACTTATCCTCATCAGCCTGGCCCCACCATTAATCTTGTGCTGTCGTCCACTTCACTAAATCCTGTGTTACACTATCTCACATTTACTTCATCAGCTCCAGCGCGGCTGTAATTAATGATTTCTCATGCCCTTCCCTTCTCTTCCCCAGCTCAGCTCACCATGTGTCCTCCTGCTAATCACACTCCCAGAGAAGAAAAGGAGGGAGGAGGAGGTGGGGAGGAAGCAGGAGCAGAGGAAGAAGGAATAAAAGACAAGAATATATAGGATGAGTAGTCAGCCTGTCTCCAGCCTGGACACACACACATGCACATGTAGATGGCGTTAATACCTGTGCCGGCAATGAGCTTCATTCGGATGACCATATGACAAGATGGCGACTGTGTGATTTGGATAGTGTGTGACAGAAGACAGAGGCAGAGTGCAGAACAGACACCCGGTTTGATGAGGGAGTGTTTGCTCTGTAACACATCTCAAACCCAACAGCACCTGTTCTTTTACAGTGGTCTGTCACTTCCTGGCAGTTCTGATACCAAGATACCGTGCTAATGAGAGAGAAGGGGGGTTGTCACTCTTAAGCACACACACACACACCCCCACACACACACATATAGAGACATGCGTACTCTTTTTGTCTCTCGTTTTCACAAATACTAGAGCTGTAAAAAGAAGGAGCTGCGTACAGATGATTTTCTTCCTACAGATGCCTGTAGGCTACAGTATTTCATCAGAAATAGGGAGAATTTTGTAGTTCTCTATTTTATGTATGTATATGTCACTTTTTTTTTTTTTTTATATAGGGGTGATTGAAAGATTGAAAAGAAACTGAACATAAATGTTAATTAAAGGGTTTTTTAAGTCAGGTTGTGTTCAAATATTATAGCCCCTTAATTTCTTATGGTGGTGGATAACCTCCTCTGTGTCAGAGACAGAGCAGCTAGGCCTCATCGGACTATACTGTCTAAAGACAAGTTTTGCATGTCTATATTAGTAAAAATCTGTAAAAAAAAAAAAAAAAAACTCTATAAAAACGGTTGCCGGCGATAGGTGGATTTTAAGAGGTTAAAACATAATGGTATGCTGACTATTTGTTAAGACGGCAATGATTATTAATGAAGGAAATAAAGGTAGGGGTCGGTGTGTCACCATTCATCCTCCTCTTTTGAAAATATTAACCATTTCTGGGAAAAATTACTACCTGATATTAAAGTAAAGCAATATGAAGAGCTTTAATTTCATTGATTATTGTAGTGACTTAATTACTTACTGCTAGATGGTTGCTGTGATACAGGCTTTTGTCAGTGCATTTAACATAAGAGTATCATTGGTCATGTGAAAATAATGTCCCTGTGTACCTGTGTAAATGTAACTTAATTGGTAACTGATTCTTTCAGAGATGTTGAACCTAAAGCCTGCTGGTCCATGTTTAGCCTAATGGAAGACCCAAACTGACCAGCTGTTGTTCTTATCAACAAAATTCAGTATGCATAAATAGAACACTTTCAATTCAAATATGATTATGCATTTATTCAATAAATATTTTTTTCTTTCATAGCTTTACTTTGCTTGAGTATTATTATTTTTTACTTTTACTCACTACATTTGACATATCTATACTTTTTACTCCATACTTAAAAACCTTCTTGTCATTTCTTATACGTATATATATATATATTGTCATTTCTTAAAAATATATTTCATATTTATAATGCCATGCGTTGCAGGGAAAATCGAGAGTGTAAAGAGAACCGGTCCAGTTGGAGCCCAAATCCAGCATAGATTTTTAATTTACGAAGTGATTAAGTTTCAGATTCTTTTTAAATTTTAATGTACTTATTATGTTACAATGCTCTGAATACCAAAGTTTTTTAAGTATTTAACTGCTATTTCAGGACTTTTGTTCAGTTCCATTTATATTTTCCCATCTGAAATTTTTATTTAGAACAAAACCAGACCAAAAACTATTTCTTACCGTATATATTTTTTTTCATCAACAAAGTGAATAAAAGATGAACACAACCCCACTTTGCATAGAACCGTTGTTTTTTTGTGTATGTGTGTGTGTGGTAATGCAAAAACTTTATTTTACTTTTATACCGAAGTATATTGTGGAAGCTGAACTTTATTTTTACTTTACTATAACTATAGTGAAAGAGTTCAATCAGGACTTTTTACTTTTACCGAATTCTCTTGTTAGACGTATGCATTTAGTTTTACTTACATAAAGTGAGTATTTTTGAAACCTCTAATTTTGAAGGACTGCTGTGGTTTCTCCATTTGGTAAGCTGAAAAAAACACCATCATGTGCAACAAAGTCGTATGTTAAAAGGAGAGAAATGAGAAATGTAGAGGTTTTATCACTGCACAGACCTCTGAAAAGGGGTGCATGGTATATTATTAGCATCTTATCAGTGTACATTTAATAACGCAAGAGAATGTTAGGAGATCTTAAATTGTGTCCATGAGATGCATGTAGAGGCTCAAGTGTGAATGTTAAATACAGGCAAAATTGAAGAATTGGGAGAGTACGGGTTAAGTTATCGAATTGTGCCTCTGTGATGTCAAAATGTCAGCACCACGGAGGGAGCGTTTTGCAATCTACCTCTTAAAAATTATTTCAAAACATATTTACAGTATAATCAAAGAAAAATGTACCGGTATTTGACATAAAAGCTAATATTTTGGCACATGAGATCAATCACTAAACATTGCCCTGTTTGCAACTTGTTGCTCAGAACATCACATGCGTTAGAGAATTGTGGATAATATACTCCGGCAAAGTCTGCTTAAATGCGTTTGGATAGAGGGTGGAGCATAAGACCACTCTGGAGAATTGGGACATGCTGTGCATTCGAACCCATCAGTGGAGACATGCAATTAATGAAGAAAAGCGTGGAAGGATGGACATTGGAAAATGACTGCAGTGGACTTAATGGTCACAAGTGACAAGGAAGATTCTGTGCAAGTTGCTAAAGGTGAAAGAACAGGTAAGATGCTATAGGTCACATTCTAAAATACAAGTATTGTGCAGAAATACACAAATTATTGTACTAAGGAAAAGACAGTTTTTTTCCCCCAGAAAATGTTGATTAAATAAATAGTGAAATTGAAGCACTTGCACATTTTTACCTTTGATAATTGGTTTTCAGAGAGATAATTATTAACAGGGATTTGCTGATTTGCTGATTTTACAGTTTTTTCCTGTTGCAAGGACAAATTTTGTTAGCAAAAATATCAAAAATAATGTTTAAACATCATTATCAAAAACCCTAGAAACTAGGGCTGGTCTAAGCTAGAAGTTCTCTTTGGTATTAACCCTTCATGAATGACTTCAGCCTTCTTGATCAACAAACTTAAAAATATAAAATCAGATGATTTCAAGTCTGCTGTTAACTGCTTATAAAATGGAAAAAATATATATACTTTTACACCCCTGAACTATCCCTTTAAGGTGTACAGAACTGTGTGAGATGCATGATTGAGTTGTTGGAGGCAAGAACTAGGGAACAAAGTCAAGAGTTCTTGGAAAGGGAGGTAACACTTTTAAGAGAGAACGGACGCCTAGCACGGCCATGCTTTTATTCAATTGGGGCTTAGTGGAGCCAACAGGGCCTCACTGTCTCAGACACTTAATTACAACCCAAGACCGTTTGCTTTGCATTCTGGGCCAGCGGCGTCGGCGGCAGCCGAGCGTTGCAGCCTCTACTCACTTCCTCCTCGATCTCTGCCAGGGATTTGATCGTAATGCCCATTAAATTGACTTGCTGCATCTGAAATCAAAAGCAGGGAGCGAAGGAGGGAGAGGGAGAACAGGAAGGACGAAAAAAAAGAAGAAACATGGCAGTTAGGCTCAAGGCTAAGTAAGCAAGCTTAAAAACTTTAATCCTTTCCCGCTCCCTGTCAATACAAACGGGGCTGTAGTGACAGCCATTGCCAGCCCGCCAAATGGACTGCATTGAGCCAGCTTTTCCTGACTGCATGCATTCATCTCTCAGTGTCGAAGAAAGAAAAAGAAAGTACCGGTAGGTGGAGCAAAGAAAAGTAATGTCCACCTGAAGAAATGTACTAGAAATTTACCCTATCCCTCTCAAGTTGCATTAATAGTCAGGAAACAATCATGCATTTGTCAGCTGACCCTTTGCATGTTTTTTTGTTGTTTTTTTACCTCCTGAGGTTTTTTATGAAACTTCTCTGACACCACAAAGGGCACATCTTCGAGAGCTGCAAAAAAGAGGACAGAAAACAAAGTTAAACTTTATACAGGAAGAACATTTTAATCTTTAGTCTTAAATGCGACTACTTTCTGAAGTCTAAATGCAGGATTACAAAACAGCAAAGCTATCACCCCCTCCACCCCCCCACCCCAACGTCTCCCCGCCTTCCGTCTACTGAGAGAAGATGAAAGGATTTTTTATATTCACTGTTTGAGCACCTCCACTCTCTCCTCCAACCCAGCCCTTTTTCCCAGCCCTCTTCCAGTTTAATTACTCTTGATTATTCCTGATTCTGTCGTGTCTGAGAGATGTTCACCTCAGAAACAAAGACACGCTCGCACTGTAGGCACAGAAAAGCGTATAGAGGGGAGACAAAACACTCACGAGATATCAAATTTGCATGAAAATAAGCCACACTGTTCCGCCAGCAAAAAGTGGATTGAAATGAGGACTTGCCAGGAGCGTGGTGGTATAATTAGCATTTGACCAAACAAACGAGCTTCAACAGAGCTATAATTAAGCAAGCCTGTAATTAAGTGTATGCCCTTTATCATAATGATCGTGGTTAAAATGGTGTGATGGCTGCCAGTTGATTATTAATGGTGTAACCCCGTCCTGCATGCATCCTGCACTGGAATCAAGGTGTCACGACTGTCAGGCTAGAGAGCAGCCCTTTGTTTATAAAATACATTAGGGCCCAAATTAACACGGGGTGACAGGAGACACAAAGCCTCTCGTTTCCACGCTGAAGGGGGAAACTGCAGCTGCTTGGCTTCATTCTAAAACTGAATTTTAGAGTGACAAAAACTTCCCTGTGCTGGCTCCAACCACAGCTCCAAAAATAAAGGGGCTGCTCTTCAAAGAGTTTTTCTTTAACCCCCAGTCAGGTCATAATGCTGGCCCAGGAAAAGGAACTCATAAGTGTAAACAGAGGCTCTTCGTGAGTCACCGCCTCGGAGACGACAATCCTGTTGGCCTTTCCTGTTCAGAGCAATTTTAAAAAGTTCTGACATAAAACAATTTTTCTCAATTTGACACTTTTGTGACTCGGTTATTACATAGATGCAGGGTTTGGCACTTAGATACAACTCTAATACAATCTGATCTGTATGTTCAAAGCATAGGCCTTACCCTGCAGCCAAGAGGGAAAGTTTTTATCTTTCTTATATTTCCCTCCCATACTTTTCTTACAGGCTGAACACAGAGGAGCTGTGAGCTCAAGTCAACATTCTTTGAGGCTTGTAATTACAAAAATAATATGCTACAGTAGATATTTACAGTATTTTTACTTAATATTTGATTTTATCACATGAAAGTGAACCTACAAAATACTGTAAAAGATGATTGTTTCTAGACCAATCAGAGATGCACCAAGAAATGAAGTCTTCACCATAGAAAGGCAATTTTCCGCTGCTCACCAGCTCTGACTGGCCAGTCATGACCTTAAAGCTACAGTGTGTAATAATTACAGGGATATACAGTCCGAAATGTAATATATTATACATAACTATGTTATTTATCATCATCTACGAGCTCAGCCTCTTAACCTTAATATTTGCGTTGCCTTAGAATTCGTTATTTATAATTACATAGGAGCGGGTCTCGCAGCCATGGAGGCAGACATCTTTGCGCTACGGCAGCGCAGAGCCAACAAACTAGCGATTGCGAGATCGCCCATTACGCTCGAAAGTAACTACGGCAAGTTGAGAGAGATGAACTGAGACGGTACTGAACAATAGATGGCAGTATTATGCCTGAGAATACTATCTGTAAAATTATCTATGTAAACAAACCTCATCACTTGAGAAGGTAGGTGATGCGGACGTCATGGAAGACATTTTGTCCCATAACACTCGCCGTACTGTTGGGGGGGAGAAGCGGTGGGGGGGAGATGTTCATGTTGCTGCAGTCTGCAGTCTGGACGTTAGATGTCGCTAAAAATTACACACTGTAGCTTTAAAGGACCTTTTATTTGTTTATATCATCAAATGCACCATACCCATCAACAACAATCAAAAGGAAGTTGCTTTTCTCCATGCACGGTTGCCTACTTAGCAATGTTTTTGCAACTTTTTGAAAACATTAACTAACAAAATGTCTAGCATCTTTTTCTGGTATTATTGGATACTTTAAGGGCTAACATCTCAGTTGCCAATGGCTGGATTGTTGTTTTGGGCTTTAAAGGTTGCCCCTTACAGTAGGTTTAACGTTAGATAAGACTTTATGAATAACTTAACAACGCTGTCAGTTTCACCTTTGAGTCACATTTGCAGGTCCTAACCCCACATGCTGTAAAGTCGGGAGGTTAGTGACAATAAAAAAAAAAAAATCAATTATTATTTTAAGAGGTGAAACTATTGTGTTTATTTCTCCTGTATCTTAGATTATCCATTGATATTTAAAAACTTTTATTTTAGCACTTAGCTCCTCTCATTACTAAACAGTTTGCCACACTGCCTATGGCAGAAGATCTAAATATATATTTGGGGTGACAGTGGTGTTGGATGTAGGAGTTTGCCCTGAAATCGAAGGGTTGACGGTTCAAGCCCCCTCTGACCCCGACTGGTGGTCAGAGGGCCCGGTGGCGCCAGTGTACGGCAGCCCCGCCTCTGTCAGTGAGCCCCAGGTCAGCTGTGGCTACAATGTAGCTTGCCACTATCAGTGTGTGTGTGAATGAATGGGTGAATGAATGTAGTGTAAAGCCCCTTGGTCAAGTCTCCTAACTTGAATAAAGGCGCTATATAAGTACATGCCATTTACCATATTCAGCACCAGTGATGTATTTCTGTGAGAAGATGAAAGGAAATAGTCAGTTTTTCATTCAAGCTGCTGCAACAGAGACCAAAACCTCAACAGGAGATTTCACTCCTTCTCGGTTTCTTGAGTGGTTTACCCAAAACCTGAACTTTTAAGGTCAAAGAGGAACCATCTTCCACAGCATATCAGTCGGAACGTTTCATCCCATACTGTACATCATAGGGTGAATTGACTGAAGGCTGCCTTCCATAGATAATATAAAGTTGGAACAAATTTATCAATAATCTGCTCTCATTTTATCCTGTAGATTTTTCACCCATTTATCAAGTAACATGTTCAATCAGGAACAATTTAAGAGTTCATGGTCTACATTAAATCAAGATTATATAAGCAGGCTGAAGGCTGAAGGCTTACAGTAAAGCAAACTGTGCTGATTGCCAATGTCAGACGCAAAAGACTAAAGATGCAGGAGATTACAAAATCAACTCTAAACTTCTTTGTTTTAAATGATTAGTTTAGAATATTAGACTGACGTCTCTGTTGTACACACAGTTAGACAGCCATTGTGCTTTTAGTACAAATGGTTAAAGTCTGGCCATGACAGAAAGGCTAGAAAGACTTTTGTCTTTATGCCGAAAGTTAGATTTTTAGAGAAATCAGTGCTGGCAGTTTGAGGCTTTACAAAAAAGAAATGCTTAGCAGAAATCAGCTACAAATCTATGATTGATGTACCACTGATAATCTTTAAGGAAAGGGTGTTGCAGCCAAGTGGTTAGAGAGGATTGTGTTGATGTTCTAAAGAGGCTGCAGAATCATTGCTTTGGAGCTAAGACTAACCCATCCTGTTTCCCTGAGAAGGACTCTTAACCACAGATAGGTTTGGTTAAATGTAGAGGATACATTTCCTTATGTGGGACTGTTAAGGGGTCTTTCCTTTCCAAAGTAAGCAATGTGTGCTAGATTTAATAGATTAGTCCAACCTGCAAACTGACACTCAAACAACAAATGAAGGGATTAAACTTTCTTTCAAAATGCAACAGAGACTGATGTCTCTGCATCGCCTTTATTGTGTTTCCATTGAGAGCATGGAGACATTCACAGCAGCTGGTTAAACCTTAAGACTATAAGTGGATACTACTTTGTCGCTGCCAGGACAAACACCGGGGCAGAGGTAGGCAGGGAGAAAACATTTAAATCAATAACCGGCAAAGGGAAGCAGATTGTGGTTGCTGATGGATCTACACGGCACGGACAGATGGATGCGGAGTGCCGAAGGCCAGAGAGTTTCTTTATTGCTCAAGGATTACATTTAAAACCAGATCTTACTTTGTATTCCTCTACCATCTATACTACAGAGCATATCTTACATCCAGACAAATGGAGAGGCGCAGCAGATGACTTGGCTGTAAGGAATGAATGCTGCACTACAGAGCAATCTGAGGGTGCAAAGGGCAAAAATAATGTAAATCCAATCTTCTGAGACGAAATCCCAGGGTAAAGCATGTTCAAGCCACCCAAGTGGCCACGCTACACACCATTAGCTCATGAGTGTATTGTCGCGCTCAAAACCTGGTACATATTTGGCGATTTGATTTTCTAGAAAAAAAAAAAAACATCTGGTGGGACTTTTGGTACAGCGACTGTGATGATGGTAGTGATGATGATGGCTGTGAGCTCAGTGGTGGTGTTAAGTAAGGAGGACCCTGTGGCTTGAGTGATTGTAGTGTAAAGAACGAAGTCAGCACAGGCCCCGTGTGGATCATTGCCTTATTAATGGCTCCGTCAGGTGCAATGAGCAATGGCTGCATTGTCATCTCCAGCCCCTGGGCACAGATGAATGGCTGTTTCAGGGCGGGAAGGGCTCTCTCGTACGCTGGGCTGAGCACTAATCCCTCACTCTTCCATTGTTGGATGCACTGTCACCCAGGACCTCAGCAACGCTATACATCGCATTCCCACACCTCCAACAGACACGAGTTGTGCGTGGCACGCAAACACACGCAAACACACAGCTGACTGATGGAAAAATATGCGTGGCTGATCGAGCATACCCCATATTACCTGGGCCACAACTCAGGAGTAGCACTTTAGGAATGTTGATGAACTTTTATTTTACACTTCACTAATCCAGCAGAACTGCATTGATCTCTGTCTGGTGTGATTACATGGGTGAATCTTTCTACTCCCTGAATTAAGTGAGGAAAATGTGCAAGCACAAATTAACATTTTCAATATGATTCTATTGTATAA